TTGCTAGGGTTTTTGGTTCCGAGAGATTTTTTTCCGATTTGCTAAGGGGTTTTTCGCGGAGAAAATTCTTTCGATTTGCTAGGGATTTTCGCCTCAAAAAGTGACTTCCAAAAAAAAAAAAAAAACACGAAAATTTGTTTGATTTGCTTAGGGTTTTTCAAAATTCCCACCCCCTAAGAGTGGCCCTATTATATGCGCCACCCTGTATATGGATTGTCTTCCAGCATATTTTCCATTATATCGTTGACATCGTCGTGGTTTTCGGTATTTTTCTCTATCTCTCTTTCAGAAAAGTGAGTGATGGTTTGGTTGGTTCAGAGTAAAATAACAAATACGGAGAGAGGTCTACAGAATGGATAGAAATGTTGAATCCGGCAATATTTAATGCTTTCGTCAATAAAGCTTATTTTGGTTGATGTAATATGTTCAATAAAGAAGAAGCCATTGTATCGATTTCACTGGAGAGCTTTCAATTCATTATAATCTCTATAGATGGAATTGAAAATGTCCAACCAAACGTTTTCAATGTTTTCTTCTCTCACTTAATATTTCGCATATTTTTATGTGCCATAGATATCTATATTTATACCTACGTCTTTGTATGGTATTGGCTCGTGGTGCCATGCACACAAAAAAAAAACAAAATGCATCCAACGGCAACCAAATCAACCATTCAATGCGTTTACAGTACACAGTAAATATAGTTAAACAACGACAATTCACAAATGGGACCAACAAATTCTGTAAAAGTATAAAACTTAAATTGGCTTTATATCGATTTCAATTCCCCGATGCATCACATCTCGTCGTCTCCATGTCAATATCAATGTCGACGAATTTTTCGTCGTCTCGTTCTTGTTCGCTCACTTTCCGATAGTCTCTGGTGCTTTGAGCTTCCACAATTGTAGATACAAAATGCTCTAAAGATAAGCCTGCTTTGGGTCTATTTCCGTTCCATTCTACTTTTTTCTTCGTGTAGTTTTATTTTTTGCTGTGCTTTGTTTGCTTCATTATCCATATAGTCCTGCACATGCATCTGTGTAATTTCGTACACTTTAGATTCACTTGCAACATCCAAAATTGGAAAATTCGATTCCAAACTACTTATCTACTTGCTTGTACCACAGTTCTGAGTCTTCACATGGATTTAAGGTTCACATGAAATGCATATGGCTTTGTATCTTGTGTTTTCGCTCAGATTTGAACGCTATCGAATTTAAGAATTTAGTATCAATGCCCACTGCTTGGCAACCATACCCCAAGACAAAACCTCAGTGAAACAAAAGTGGAAATGAAAGTGCCAGAAATTTATTTGATAAGCTTCGTTCACGACAAACTATAAACAAATAGATTTTGATTAAGATACGTAAACGTTCGAAACAATGACTTCTTTATCAACCAACCATTGATATGCGAAATCTTTGGAATTTCATGTGGATTTTCATTTGTTTCATAAAATGATAGTGCCAAAACCATAAAGATAAAATTGCACGTATTTCGGAACGCTTAAGATCGAATTAAGAAAATCTAACTATGCAAACGAAAGATTTTTGCGATTGCATATCAAGGGAAAATTCGTAATCAAAAAAGTTATGCTCCCGAAAAAGAAAAACTATATGTTATTAACAACTTTTCACTTGGCAACCCTCTATCTCTCTCATTTGCTAGCTGGAAATTCAAAACATTTTAATATTCAACATGGGAAATGGTATAGTCCATTGAAACAAAGCCGATTAATAGAGCATCACAGCATATGTAACATTTTAATAATTGCTTACAAAAACATGAAATTTTAAATAAAATAAAATAAAAAAAAGGGGAAAAGATGTGGAAAATATGTTGATTTTTCCATCTTCTGGGAACATCTGTTGGAATAACAAAAATCAACACGGAATGAATGAATACAGAAGTTTTCACAAAAAGGAGAGAGAGAGAGAGAGAGAAAGAGTTCTCAACCCCATACACAAAAATACAATGAAGTCATATTAACAAGAAAATAATATTACAATGATACCACAATACTAAGGGTATAAATGTGACTAAGCAAATTGATGTAGTAAAGAGATGTATAAATGGTTGTCGTAAAATGTCGGATGAAATACTTTGATACGCACACACACACACACATACACACAAATAAATCGAAAGAACGAGAGACTCTGCACATGATCAAAGACTGGCAATAAATGAATAAGCAAAACAACAATCCAATTGAGATTAAATTCGTTTTCTTGTTTCCGAACGTGTTGTGTATCGGTGTGAAGTGGTTTTCTCATCTCGCTTTCACGAACCAAACTGTTAAATTCAATTTCCGATTCTTTTGCACGAAACCTTTTTTGAGGTCAGTTAAACAGTGTACGGCTTTTTATATGATTCGCCTATATGCCATAGCCATTAGAATGAATATTATACCAAAAGTAGATCCGTCGAGTATTGAGACCGTGTAATTTTAGCATCTATTATTGTTTGCAATTTCGATAGTAGTAGTGATAGCGTGGCCGATTATATATATACTATATTTTTTTCTATCTCGTTTTCTAATGGAAACTTTTTCTATTTCTCTCTCTTTTCATATGTTTGCCGCTGCAACAATCATGCAATCGATGGATGGGTCTTCTGTGCAATATCGCAAACCAATGATGAATGTTTCTTTCAAAACATAAAATTGTACCAAAAAAAATCGCATTAAAAAAATAACCCCTTGGAATACAATAGGAATGGATCCAAGCTGGCGTCATATAATTCCACCGCTTCAACAAAAAGTAATATCGGAGGGGCATTGTACGGATGATTGTACGAAGAAAAGCTTTCCGCCGCAGGGTATATCAATATTTGCTGTGATAATGCAAACCCACAATATTGGAAAAGAAGTGAAATTGCGACAGGTACGTATGCGCTGCACAATTCGGCTTCATTCATTTTATTTTGTTTTGTGGACCGCAAATACGCTTTGATGTTATTTTTTTTTTGTTTGTTTGATTGCTCTTTAATAAAATCCAGCGAATTTCGGACTGTTCGCGCATTGGTTATAACGCCAATGCTCGCAAGGGTAATAGCAAACGTTTTCGACAATCAATGAATCGAATGTTCGGCACATCGTCGTCGTCGTGGTCGTCGTTGTAGTACACGAAGATTCGCTGGGGATACTCTTAAAGCTTTAAACTTCATTGCATGACTTTATGTTTTACTATCCGTTTTATTTGGGTTATTTTATTTTCCATTCGGTTGCAATATCAGTATGCACGAAAAACGCGAAGTGAATAGTAAACAGCGTACACTTGCATAATGTATGGCTGTTGTTGTTGTGTAGTGTACATTTGAAAACCTGGATTTCATTGTATTCAATTCAATGATATGGCCAATGTTTGAAAGTCACATTGCTTTTCTTCCCTGATCCCTTCTCATGCCATTGCTACGTGTTCTTCGAACAGGCATTTGCTCTTTCCGACAGAGAAAAAAGGACAAAACTAAACGTTCGACAATCAGAGAGGGTCAATTAGATGCCAAAATATGTAATAAAAGTTGGAATAGCAGCAGTTCAATTCGTCGTCTTTGTGTGTGTGTGTGATTCCATTTGTAGACATACCGTGTAATATGTCAGAATAACCGAAGGGAATAAGCACAATTGCATGCACCGTACTGGAACTTATTGAGCGGTAATAGCTAAAGGGTATTGTCGAATAAATATGATGAATTGTGATGCGATCGAAAATTAGATAAGGGAGAAAACGACAGAGCAATAACAACAGTCAATCTATTTAAATGGTCTGCAACAAATTCAAGTCATTCAGCCCGATATTAAACTTGTCTAGGCAAGTTAAAGTAAAATATTATGTGAAAAGCTTTACCTCAAGTCAATTATTATTATTATTATTGTTGCCAATGTGTCACATTTGATTATTTGATACGATGAACATACAGTAAAATCTCAACTCTGCATAGTAGTTACAAAACTTGAACGGGTCACAAAAAAAAATAACAAATTCATAAAATCAAATCAAATAAAAGCAACACGGGGTACCCGTGGATAAATTATGATTTACAATTTTTGAATAAATAAAACATAGATATTTCATTTTGAAGGAACAAACCTTTTCGAAACTTACACTCTCATATTTCATGGTAGAATTATTATCTCATTAGGAATTTAAATGGTCCGAATGATGCTTTAATTCAAGATTTTTTTCCAAACGTTTTCTAGTATTGCACTAGAAGAATTACACACATTCGTGAACCTTAAGTAACCCGGCTGAATTATTCCAACTGGTGCGCAATCAAGTCTCCAGATTAATTTGTTTTTTTTTTTCTCTCCAATTTCATTTAATTTTATTTATACCTATATATATAGCTTGTCTCTGTGGATGTAAATGTGAAGGAGTCTTGTGTAATTCTTTGATGTGGCCTTTTTGCTTTCGCATTCTTTTTGCTCTGTGGTGTTGCTAATTTTTGCGATTCATCGCTACGAGGAAAAATAGTGCTATTTGTAATCATTTCAAGATGAAGACCACAAGACGCTTCAATTAATCCGAAGAAGCACAAAGCTAACGAGTATAACATTGGGTAGCCAAAAAGTCATGACAAGTCGATAGTCAAGTAGACGTAAAAGCGAAGCCCGTACCGTTCGTGCGTAAGCACAAAAAGGAAAAAATGCGAGGATGAAAGTGAAAGAAAATTCACTAGAAATAAAATCCACAATTGCCAAACAACTCTTCGGGGAGGAATTCGTAGCATAATACATTGTGTAATCAATTTTCTAAAGATTTTTACTTAATGTTAATCTTTTTCCGAGTTGTGTATGTGTATATACATAAACTGTACACGTAGACACTAAGACACAATTCGGTAATGCATTGATAGGAATTCGGAAATATCTCTATATAGACACATATGTGTTACGGTCTTGTCCTCGTTCTGAATCATGGATTTTGAGTGAAGCAATTTCGTATTTGGCATTTTTCCATCCATTTTGATGAAATGTTCTACGACGCACAGTTTTGTGGGCGATTGAATTCATTTCGATTGTTTGAGTCAAAGATTAAAAGACCAAACGTTGATATTCGATTTAAAAGAAGTCTTTTTTTTATTCCAGATTGTATTTTTATCATTTTGTACACCACTAAAATTCATTAACTTTTTTCTTCTTCTTCTTCTTCTTCTTCTTTATATTTAGATTCGGAAACGCGAAGAATTGTTGCCAATCGTAATCGATCGAAATGTGCACGCGGGCTATTCTGAATACCGGCGATTGTCACCACCGGTGCGTGTGAACCCGGGTGATCGTTTAATTGCTGAATGTACGTATAACAGTTCGCAGCGGACGGCAATTACATTAGGCGGTTTGACCACACGAGAGGAAAGTTGCAAAGCATTTGCTGTTTATTATCCAAAACAGCACAAATTAACTACGTGTCATTCGTTACCGAGTCTGCCGACGGTTTTGCATTCGCTAGGAATTAGTGAACTGGCCATGTAAGTGATTTTGTTTTTAATGTTTTCGTCTAGCTTAGTTTGGCCAATGTACTTTCATTTGAAAGCATTTAAAGCGCGCACATTGACAAAAGATCCAAGTTCTGTACATGTAGAACACATCATATGGTATAATGCATGTCCAGCATGAAAACAGAAGTGAGAGTACACAATGGCATACAACCGAGCACAACGATACAGAGCAATAAATAGCCTCAATTTAATTTTGAGCTTGCGGGCACATCAACGTGTGAAGAAACGTGTATACAAACATGGGAGAGTGAACGCATTTAAGCCAAATACATACGAATCATCGTCCGTTCGTGCGAATGGCATTTACCATCTTCTGTTTCACCGTCAAATTCAATGATGGTCATGTGTGTTTGTGTGTGTGTGGTGCGATAATCTGACTAAAAATACATACATTTGTTCAATCGAACTATTTTCGCTGAAAACTTTATTTATTTGTTGCCGTATCCATTCGGCGGCTGCATTCGGTTTATTTAATTGTATTTAATTGTACACACGTTGCACATTGATATGCGCATTTTGCTATGTAATTGCAATTCCATTTCAATATGATTTATATAAAATACTTATTCGCATTATGGTTTTCTTGCAATTTTTGATTTTCAGGGACTCCAATCCGGTGCTTATTTTGAAACCAGCTGAATTGGCCGGCATGTCATTGGAAAATCGTCTCACCAGCTATGATTGGCAAAGTCAATTCGATGTATTTCAACGAGTCACGCGAAACGGTTCATTTCGGCCCATTTGTTTGGATGCAAGAAATAATATGTTAGCGGTAAGTACATTCGTTTTCTCTTTCATCCTTCATTTAAATTGGAACAAAAGTAATTTTCCATTCGCCATTCGATTTGCAATATTTCATTATTGTTATGCGGTTCTTTTTGCACTCCAATTTTAATTCAGTTCAGTTAAATTGTAAGTTACAAAGTACGCTAAGTTAGATTCAGTTCATTGTACGAATGGTAAACCATGTAAATGAAAATGTTGAACGCTTCTGAGTAAAATAACGCAATAACCGACGAAGATTAATTTCGTGAATGTAAAAGTTTTTCTTCACCAAGTTTGAGGACTCGAAATTGCTTTTATTCAGGTACAACTTATTACACCGCGTGCACATGGCACATTCTCACAAAAAAAAAAAAAAACACAGTTCAACATCAAATATGTACTATTCGCCTACTCAAACACCAACGACAAAATTTCAATTCTAAATATAAAACAATTATCCATTAACGTTTCGGTAGAATATTAAGGTAATATCTACATCAGCTGTGTGTGAATGTATAATGGTAATCGCGCACTGTTACACTTCACCAGGTTCTTTGATGTATCGAAATCACATTGAACGAGACAGAGAGAGAGAGAATGAGCGCTCGCGCGACATCAAACTCATTCATTCATTCACTCAGTGGTTCTCGTTCGCGATGAACGCAAACGATAGTTGACATGCGATTTGAATTTCGCTTTCCCATAAATCCGAAACCATTTTCAAGTTTCAAGTCATAATTTGGGCACGTACTCCAGACTTCATGCTTCCAGATGCTCATCGATAATGCGCTCGCATTCACAATAAATTTTGTGAGTCGCACTTTGTTTTTGTTTGTTTGCGTATCGTCGAAAATCAAATTATTATTGTACATACAAATGTTGTATTACATACCGTTTATATGGTGGTGGTGTACATCGGAATAAATTGTGTAATATACATTGGCGATTGTTTTTCTCGCTCGTAATATATGTGTGACGTTCACTTAATGAATGGGCTAATAAGCATTATTTTCACTACTACTTCGTATAATCTGACTTGATTTCGGATTGTAAGTTGTTGTTGTTTTTTTTATTATAGCATGAGGTCATGTTCAATGGTATAAATTTACCGATTTTTCTCCTAATTTTACGTTGAAGGAGTCGAAGAGTTGGAAATTTGCATGACTTTAGATGGTGGCGTTTCTATTTCGCCCGACTCACTCGCCTACTTTCGTTTCACATTCAGCGCGGAAACCAGTCAAATGGCGACGACAACAAAATCGACACGAACGATTCATGATTCAACAAACGAAGCGAGCAAAATACATTCTGTCATTCATTTAAAACGGTATTTCACACTGCCGCAATGGACATTGGTTTCTTGCAGTTGACATTTCATTTGTAATCGGAATGAGTTGTCAATTTGCAGCCTTTGGCTTTCACCGCTCCTCTTCCTTTCTTCTTGCGCTGCCCTTTATAAGAGACGCAATGCCACCCTTTGAACAAATATATTTCTTAAGCACATAAACTCACATACTATTTTGATGGCGTTTTAATAAATACTTTCGAAAACATAAACACTCTCATACACACACATACTGCGTTACACTCAAAAGTAAATCTTAGAAATAGAAAATGGGAAGGAAAGAGAGGGGGAATGTATGTATGTGTGGGTAAGTAAGAGAAAAAAAAGAAACAGAAAATTCAAAAGAAACTTTAATCAAATGGATTTCCCTTTAATACGTTTATGCGAATTTACTGTTCAGTTTGTTATACGGTTTGAATTCCTTTCCTAAAATACGAACAAGCTGTGTTTTTCTCTTGCTCACAATGTTCATTGCAAGAAATAACGATAAAAAGAAGAGAAAAAAGAGAATAAATTCAAAGAAAGAACCAAATGGAAACGAATCGAAAAAGTTTTCCATGAAAAAGTCATTTTATGAAGAAAAAAAAAAATATAAAATGGCAAAGCAAGCTGATATATATATATATGAGAATGTGAATGCGTTTTGTCACATGGTAATTCGCAGATATGTACGTCCCGAGAAGAATAAATAAGTTTAGAAGATGATAAAGTGGTGACGCACACCATTCAAGCGAGCGAATCCACTCAATCTCAAATTGTTAGTTTCGCAAACTTTTGAAAATACATGCTCATTAATTGAATCCAAATCCATCATGGTGTGTGTATATACATTGACACAAATATGTGTGTGAATGGTTTTTCGTTGGAGTCTAAGATTTTTCGCTTTTTAATTTACAGCTTTGGTAGTCTTGATAATACCAAACGGCATCTAAACCTTTATACATTACAAATTAATACAAAGGATACATATAATTATAAGTCAAACAAAAAAAAAAACAACACATTTTTCCAAATGCTACAAGTATCATCAGAGCTAATTGAAAGCATGCATTAGTAATTTTTTAGTATCAAAACGTTTCGAGGGCTGACACATTTTTATGTATGCAGAGACACAGTTCGTTCCTATCTCTCAATATCATTCGAACAAAACAATTTTAAATCGTGTTATATTTCAATAGGGTTTTGATGTTAAGCCGCCGGAAAATTATCAAAATTTTATTTTCACAGTGTATAGAATGAGAATTAGTCAACCGCTGCTTCAAATGAATATGTAATGAATTTTTCAAATAAAGACAATTTCGATATTGACAATTCAAACGAGCGACCCTATTTTTCAATTGCAAATCTTTGCGATGCAATTCAATTAAAGATAGACAGTAGAAAGGTTAAGCTTGGGCCATTAGCATGTATGGACGCTCAATATAGAATGTATAAAACGATATACATGCGAAAGTGCTGTAAAAAGAGATCATTTTTAGTTCATTTTAGAGGAAATTAAATTCGAAAAATTATCTTTGCAACTCTCCACTTTTAAATGACAGTATCGCGTGCATTTGTGGAATTTAATTTGTGGTTTTTCATTGGCCAGACCATTAAAGGGAGTAAGAGTTTATGTTCGAATAATTTTAAAATGTTGCTCGTAACGCTCTCATTTAATTGAACCACATATACATATAATGTGATAGATGGATCCTATCATGCGGACTTTAATTCAGTCAATTTTTGGTCGAGACAGTGCTTCAATTCGAAACCCCAAAAAATCTTGTTGACTAAATATTTAATATGAATTTGAATAATTTAGCTAAGCGTGATATCGATTGACTTTTGGTAGACCGAGTCGTATTGTTGAATTATACATTGATGAGTTTCCATTGTTATTAGCCCCATTTTGGGAAATTAATTGGCATTTTTACCTCCGAATCACATTCGATTTGCGTCATTTTTACTCACATCATTCTCACTGTGTGTGTGTGTGTGTGTGTGTGTGTGTGACTGTGTCGGTTAGTTTTGTGTGAGCGTCAATATACAAACGTGTTTGTAATTAATCGATGGAGGTGGACAAATTACTGATGACCAAAATAAATACACCTCAAATTGGAATAGTCGATACAAGCGAGACATAACGTTGATAACGATTGATAAAAGTGTTTAGTTTTTAAATCGGTATGTGTGTACGGTCGTTGGTGTGTGTGCGTGTGTGCTTGTACCAAACGGATGCGAATGTGTTGATTGTGGGTTAAGCCGTCGTACGTGTCAAAGTCGGGATAAAAACTTTTTGTTGTTGTTATTCGTTTGGTGCGGTATGTAAAAGATTTTTTTGGTTGTTAGTTGTGTGATATTGGTTTTGAGCATTGAGATTTTCGTCGTCGTAATCATTTTCGTCTTGATATGGCAAAGCGGATCAAATCGAGCGAAATAAAGGTAGTGTTGTTTCCATTTGTTTATCGAATCGGAAATGCGTTTGTTTGATTTTGATTCTTACAATAGTATCAGTAGCAGCAGCAGCAGCAGCAGCAGCAGCAGTAACACTAGAAACGCCGATGGGATGTGTATATTTCGTGAGCGTGTGTATGGTTTTATGCCTATATTGCGTGTGTTTTAACTTTTATTTATTATGTATGCTGAACTGCTGACGAATGTAATAAAATACTAATGCTGCTATCGGATATATGAGAACTTTGTAAGCTTTTTTCTCCCCATTCATTTGAAGCGAATGACTGGAATTTTCATACAATATGTGACTCTTTGTTGGTCAGAATGTGATATGCAAATGAAATGAGAAACGAAAGCTTTCATAATAATCAATGGCCAAAAAAATGTTCGCATATTATGCGGGACATATTCGTGAGTTTTCTCTCAATTTTTCTTTCTCGAATGAAAAAAAAACCAATCACCGTTTTCTACTACTACACAGCCATCGCAGCGTATATCGATGACTATATGTATACCTAAAGTAAGTGGAAGAGACACAGGCGAACAAATATTTCAAGCAAATATATGTATAGAATGCAAGTGACAGCCAAAGTAAAAAAATACCATTGTGCCAAAGTGTTACTAGTCTTTGAGCGTAGAATGTGTATGCGTATTGAATCGGACAGAACGTAACTGTTTCAAACCTTAGCGTAAATGAAAAATTGTCTAGCCTATTTCACGTGTTTGTTATAACCGTCACAAAACTCGTTATGTAATTCCATTAAAATGAATTTAGAAATACGTGCTCAACAAAAATACAAAAACAACAATAAAAAAAGGTGGCAGAGAAAGGGACACATATTGTCACTTTTGGTACTTGGTCGAGTAATTTTTACCACCTGCACACAGTCACGATCAATGTGTTTCTATACAAGTTTTTTTTGTTATTTTCATTGGGGAGCGAACAAAAAATTACCCATCAAAACAAATATATATAGTAACATTTTGGTCGGGCATTTTGTGATTGCCATTTTTTGTGCGTTTTTTTTTTTGTTTACAGTTAGTATTGTCTATATCGCCCCACTATAAATAATATAATTTCATTTTACAATAAATTATAAAGAGTGTTGAATGAAATGTGCTCAACTGACGATTTCCAATTTATTTATTAAAAATGCATTTACATGTCGCTCATGCTTACCCATGCTATACAACCTTGCGCAACAGTCTAGTGAACTTTGGCTGAGAACTTTGAAAAGTGTCACCGCTTTTTATTGCCTTTCCTTATGGGAGGTATAGTTTATAGTAGTTCTTCGATATTCATGAGTACTTGAGCTGAAGAACTTTTCTTGAATATATACTAACATTTTCTCTCGATGATTTTTAGCGCATTTTCGCGAAACGGCTGTTGGTTCTTTATCGTTTTCTCGCCCTTTTTTCTCTTCTCCTCTCTCGTCCTCTTTCTTTTTTGCTCTGTCTACACTTTCTGTTCTGCCAGCTCCCTATCTGTCTCAAATCGATAATGTACAGTAGGGGGAAAAGGTTATGTTATTTTCAGGCTTTATTATTTATAATTATATCATCTTCCATAGCGTTCCATACAAATTTAAAGAAATGAGGCAAAAATCCAATTGAAACGAATATTTGGAAGTAGAAAATACAACGGAGGCGTATTAAAACTTTTGACCTGCACTGTATAACATCGATCGAATATTTCATGTGGTCATTCGTTCGAATCATGAATGTTCAATGAATGTTGCATGCGCGATATCAAAAACTAAAGTGAAAGAAAATAACAGAAACATGGCCCAACCAATACGGAAAAAAAGCATATACAGTGAAATCAATGTGAATTATAAGAAAATATTTTGCCGAAAAAATGATAAACTGGCATTTTGACTTGAATATATATATGTATATATAAAAGTTTTCTTTCACGCCTTGACAAAAATGTGGAGAAAAAAAGAAACTTTGCGAAAATTCCAAAGTACTGATGAAATATAATAATGGACTTATGAATGAATGAATGACTGTTGCATGATACTATAAAGAAGTTTTCCAACCGAATTTCTGTATTTTTATTGCACTTGGAAGAGCAGTCAAAATAAGAAGATGATATTTGAACGTGTCATGTAATTGAAAATAGATATCATTTTTATGAATTTTTTCTGCTTTTAGTTTTTGCACTCTCATCGTTTTTTTTTTTCTACCCCAAGAATATTTAAGCTTATCTATTCCATCACGTGACAATTTAAATTGAAGTCATCCGTATGAGCGAACATCAATTATTTGTGATAATGTTCAATTCGTGTGGGTTGGTGGGTGGTTGTGTGTTTGATAGAGAGAGAAAAAGAGACGAAGACAGCGGGCGTCGACTTACACTTGTTAGTTCAAAAAGTATTTGTGTTACATTGCATATGTAGCAATAATATAGATATCGCAATGTCGTATTAAGCATTATTTTTAAGCCACTTGGAAATTGAGAGTAAAACATCGCATGCAATATGCATGGCCAAAGCGCATAAAGCATAAAGTATATCCGGTGAGCGCAACAAACAACAATGCATACGAACGACGACGCTACGAATATTCGGCCACTGAATGAACAATGAGGCATACCTATTCAGCGAATAAATGAGCGAATGAATGTGAGCGATCCCCAAAGCAAGCCCCAATATAGAGAGTAACACCGATACAGACAATATTCTATTTAATATTGATAAATATTGACATTGATTTATTACGACGGGATTTTATGGTCTGTAAAATTTTATCTAGTTTGCTTCTCTCTCTCTATCTCTCTCTCTCTCTCTCGCTCTATATTTGAGTGTACAAAAGCGAGTTTATATTATGTGAGCAGGGGGTGTGGATGGTGGCCAAACGATGTTTGTTTCTCTGTTTTCTGCTTGTGTCTCTGTTTTCTGTTTGGATGTGTATGTAGTTCGATTTGGGTTTTATGTATGAGAAAGAGAGAGAGAGTGAGAAATCGAGAGTAAGCGAGTTTTTTTTGCTCTCCCTATCGTATTCGCTTGGATTTGCCCGTTTATAAGTGATATTGTATTGTGTTGTATTGTTTCGTTTTGCATTTATCACGATGAATTTATGCTATGTTATTCAAAATAGTGAACAAACTGGCTTCTTTGTTGGATAGTTAACATTTAGGTGGTAGAAAAGCGATAGTTTTTCCGAACACGGAACAGTTGTGAGTGTGTGAAACAAATTTTTGTACCATTTTTCTGTGTCAAAGCATTTTTAAATAGACTTCTGAACTCAAAGTTATATTTTTTCGATATATTTATTGTATTTGTGTTGTTTGTTCGTCTTCACGAGCAAATAAGAACCATTTTTGCTGGTACATGTTACACCACGCATATTTCATGTGCAAAGAAGTTTGCAATGGACGCGCGAACGATTCAAAAAAACAGAATGGCATGAAAAGAATCAGTTACATATATCATTTCGACGTCGTTTTCTTCTGAAAAAGATTTACCATTGCTTTTTCTCACTCTCTTTCTCTGTGCACCATTCGAAATCTGGAAGCTGAAATACTGGAACACATTCTACCGTTCCATTTGTTGTTTTATACAATTTTATTCGCACAACCAAACCTCTATCTGGATGGCGATAGAGAATAGACCATAACTATGAGTTGCATGAATACAACAAATGAAAGAAAAACGTACATACGAGTAGTAAATTCGAGACAAAAGTGAGAAAGAGAGATGGATGGTAAAAATGGACGGTTGTTCTTGGAACAAAATAAAAGTCGTCTCGAATGAACTGCTGTTAATTTGCAACGCCAAAACAAAATGGACAAAACAAAAGTTGTAATAAATGTTGAATTGGCTCGAAAACGGCAATTGGGTTTGTTCGATTTGTTCGATTTGTTCCACTTGCAATAATGGTTGTTCTTATCTGGTATTTGTTTGCAATTGATATATAACTTCCTCTTTCCTCGCTTCTGCACGCGATATCACCGAAGATTTTTTTTCTCTCATTTTGTTCCATTCTTTGATTCATTGCGTAAAAAACACGAATCGTTTCCAAAAAAAGTCTATGCACCTGAAAATATCGTTAGCTATCCAGCCAGCATCTCCCTTTTCGTCATCATCATCATCTGTTGTTGTTGTTATTATTCTCATTGTCGTTTAATGAACTTGGCACATTATTCTTTTTTTCAAATATCCTTTAGCATCGCATCACCTATTTTAATTTGCTTTGAACACTTTATGTTCATATCTCATTTGTTGTTTGTCTTCTCATATAATTTTTTTTCTATTTATGTTGTTTACTTACAGGGCACCGAATCGATTGAACGCTCCAGCCCGACGTTAACGAAATATTGGCAGCAACCAGCCGACACCTGCGTTCATTTTCAACATAATTACAAAATTGGAGGTAAAATTGATTACACAATAACATTTACATCAATAAAAGTTTATTGTTATACGGGCTACATCATCCATTCGATCGATTTTCGAACGTTTATAACAAAAATATATATATATATATATATATTCGTTTCACACGTACATACACACACTCGTTAACAGAGTGAACTATTTGCAATTTGCTAAAACAGTGTAACGACACAGTATTTGCTGGTGGTGGTAGTAACCCATAACTCTCGTATCTCGTTGCTTCTGCTCTTATTATTTTATTGAACGCTGTGATAGCATTTATTTGGCAGAAATGGGATGATGCAGTAGTATGGTATCATACAAAACCATAATCTACAGCAAAACAATCGCCATCAATAAAAATTGTTCCGCCATTAATATTGCTCAAGCCATTCATAACATACAACAACAACTACAACCGCAACAGATAGCAAACACCACTACCACCACTATCATCAGCAGCATCACCTATACAATGATCGTCGAATGCGTTGATGGCCTTTGTCTGTATTATAGCCACTAACATCAAAAATGATGGAATAAAATTATTAAAATGTGTTTTTTTTTTCTTCTTTCGTTTGTTTTGTTTTTGCATATATTCGCACTCATCGCACGATACACCAACAAATCACATGTACACACGCAAATCGTACAGAAATAACAAATGTGATTGATACACGGAAAAATTATGTGGCCGCCAATGAAGGTAATTCGGAAGCTGAATCGATGAGCTTAAGTGGAAGTCGAACGATCAATACACCATTAACGAATCTAGCGCTATTCATATTGGCGCTGTCGATCATGGCATTTGCTACTTAATGAGATGACTACAATACCGACACCGATAACAACAACAACTGCAAATGAATCTGCTTTATTAGCTATCGAATTATTGTTAAATGAAACAACCGGAACTTTTCAGTTAGGTTCAACCATTTAAAAAAAAAATGAAGATAACCAAATACTACGTAGTATAACCAATCGACATGCATTATAGCAAAACATCAAACATCCAACAATCAGTTCGTTATCGTGGTGGTATCCTGTTTACGTAATTAGAGTAGATTCAAACAAAAAAAAAACTAAGTGAAAAAGCATTAGCAGTTTACTATATACATTATGTGTAGTTATATGATGCCAGTGTACAACAATTGGTACGATAATTTTGATTGTGATTTTATTTGTCATTTGAAACAACACATGAAAAATGAAAAAAAAAAAAAAAATAGAAATAAGTTGTACATTTCTTTGAATAACAATGTAATGACAGCATCAATTTCAGTGAAAAATTGACGATCATAGTTCTTTTGGGAAAATAAGAAGAAAAAATGACTAGTAAGATTAAAGAAAACCTTGAAACAAGATCGGGAAAGTTATCCGTTTTTAAAACGATAAATGAATAACTAAGAATATGACATCGCGCAAGTGAACGCTTCTAGTGTACATTTTCAGATTGTCCATTTCTTTTCACATATTTGCTTTTCAACTTTCGAACCAAAATCCTATTCCAACTCCAACTCCAATTTCCAATGGTTTTTCCTTTTCCGACTTAGAATACCATCAACTGCAATACCATTTCTTAAAATGGAAAATTTCGCAATGAAACCATCAAATCGAGATCGCTACATAATACATATAATATTTCAAATCGTTTTTCTGCCACATCCAAAACTGATTGCATTGGTAGACTGAATGTATTTAATGGTTTTACTTCAATGGAACTGGGTTATTTAATGGATGGATTGAACAAATTATTTTGCATCGTATAAAACAAACGATAGTCAATTAATGATCACAGATTGTTTGGTGCAATGCAATTTGATTTGTTTACGAGTGCCTTAACCAATTTCAAAAACGTTGGCAAAGTGAAAAAAAAAACAAAACAAATAAATAAAATATGAGCATTAAAAAAAATTGTGAACCAAAAACATAACACATACTACCCGTTACACTATGTATATTTTAAATGAATGTATATAAATCCAATTTAATTTCTTCTTCATCACAGTCATGCCACCATCACGTGAAATGCATAGAAAAACAGAAGCTATGCAAGTCTCGATCACACGCTAGGTCCATCGATGAAGAATTGTGTGATCGGCAAACATAATGGCATTTTCCATAATAATTTGAGTTCCTGCTGTATCGTTACTCGACTATAATCACTTTAATAAAAAACAATGGTTTCTTTGCTCTCTACGTACAAATGAATAAAAGAGAAATGAATAAAACACACTTTAATCAGCTTTGATATCAGGCCCAAAATTCATATTTGCTCGTCCGAATTTGCGACTAACTTACACATACACACACACATACGCTTTGTTGTCAGGTTTCAATTTCCCTATTTTATTTTGCGCGCGATGTTGTACAAATCGACAAAAGATTGGAAATTTTGTTTTCAGTTAAAGTAAAGTGAACTTTTGCTATTCAAATCGAACTGGCATTTGGGAAATTTTGTTTTTGATGGTTAAGTGAAACCTGTGTGTTTTTTCGGTTACATTTTAGTTTTCGTAAACGAACAAGAAAAAAAAGCAAATAAAACACAATTTTTTTAATCATATATTTCGGACATTAAAATTCAGACTTATTATACGAAAAAACTCAAAGAAAGAACAAGAACGGAGTATCAATACGTTTTAATGAAAATCATTCTGGATAAGTGTCGTATACTTTCGTAGTTTAAATTTCGGGAGTGCATTTCTCGAAATATTATATAGTCTCACTGGACAAAACCGTAAAAGAATGATGATTAACAAACTGAAATGAAAACGTTTGAAAATAGATGATGAAATCATAAATGTCTATATGTATGTCTTTTCGCAAGAAAATTCAAAGTCATTTGAAATTGAAACAAAAAATATATATTATCAGAATATTAAGAATATACACAACAAAGCAGATGCAAAAAAATCTTGTCCAATTTGAAATGTGACGTAGCTTACATAGTTTACGCTTGTGTATGGCTAAATATTGTATTTCACACACACAACATGAACTTTAATATACACTTTTGAATTTTCCGAAAATAAATGGAATTCATGATGAACAAAAATGAAAATGTAGAAAAGTATCGTAGACATCATAATTTAATTTATTCAACTAATTTATTCAACCAGCACGATCGACATTGGTGTTTGGAAAAACTATTGAAAATTTATATTGGCAAATAAATGCTGAGAAAAGAAGAATAAGAAAATAATACGAAAACAAGTAATAACAAGTGAAAAAGATGTATTTTAAGTGAGTTTTAGCTGAGACCAGAATATTGAGCTCATTTTGCTTAATTTAATAATATAATAACCATACCCATCTATCTAGCCATAAGATGAAGCAATGGGATAAACAAAGGATAAATGAAGCCAAACGAAAAGCGATGACAATGTTTTTTTCATCTCTTTTTCAAGTGTTACTTTTTATATTTAAAATATGAAAATGACTAGAAAACGAAAACAAAAAAAAACTATGCCGGAAAATCTGTAAAAACAAAACATGTTTTATGTGGAATTGGAAAAGTTGAATCTAAGACATATGTAAAATATCACATGTAATCTATAGTAATTCTTAATTTAAAAAAAAGATACAGAACGATGATTTAAGATACATGAAAGTAACATATATTACATTTAAGTAAGCTTTATCCAGAGTAAGCCAAAGAATATTGTGAATGAAATGAAACAAATCAAGTAACCGATCTAACACATCGGTTGTGTAGCCCGAGTTTAAAATGCAGCGGTCACATCTTTTGACGCTTGATTGATTATAAAAAAAAAAAACGTAAAAAGTCGACGAAAACGCACTGAAAGTAATAATAATAAATAATGAATGATAAATAATGAAAAGCAATACGTATACATTTATACATCCAAAAGTAATATACTAACATACATTTTTTTTTGATTAAAGGAAAACAAACAACAGAAGAAGTAACAAAGCAAACAAACAAACAAATTGATATAGTTGATTTTAAATGTGAAAACTATTGTAGCATTGTAATTAGAAAATATTTGCATGTAAGAATAATCCACAAGAGAACAGGCAGAGACAGAGGGAGAGAGAGAGAGAGTGGTAGATACATTTAAAGAGCATTATGCATTCTATTTAATCTAATTTTAGCAAGGATAAAATAATGAATACACCCACAGCAACCGCAATTTGAAATACAGAAAACAGACAGAGTAAATTTAAACAACAATAAACAACACTGCCCGTTCGTAGATCACGCAAGACTTGTGGATAAGACTAAAAATAAAAGTATCTATTGATCTAGAGAAATTACTGTCGCATTTTCTTTATTTTCTTTCCACTTTACTTAAGATGCTCCAATTCTAGCTTTTATAGAGGTGATAGAAACGATTTGGAAATTGATAGAATTTTGCGGTAACTTCGATTGAATTTTTCGAATATGAAACCAATTGAAGAATTTTCTTTTGCTTTTTGTAAAAAGGACACAGATGAAACAATTCTTCATATTTATTTTTGCACATAACTTCAGGAGGTTTGTACTAGAGTTTGTATCCCTCAGATTCCGAATACCTCTAAACGGTAATTTTTCACTGAATTTTGCTTTGTTATTTTCATCAATCATATCTATTTATTAATATTTTACTATATATTCTCATCTGAAGGCCCTATGCTCTACTAGGAGTTAAAGGGAAAAATTATCTATTTTACCAATCCCAACACCGAATTTTAAAGCATTTCTATGTTGAATACAAAGAAGACTCTCTACTGAATTCTGGATGAATTATGACTTTACCTTCACTGACATCGATTATGGTTCATCAGAATTTACGCTAGCGACTGCTAATCTGATGGAATCTCTGTTCCATATCCGTGTCTAGTAGACCGCCATTATGTCCAATATAGTCATGAACTGTCAATATAATGTGACTGTTATTTACTACCATTGTTTTATATATAAAACTAGAAAAAAATGAAAGAAGAAAAAAAATCTAGTCCATTGTTGCTTCCATGAACCAGATAATAAGATCAGCCATCAGAATCCGATAAAAAAAACTTTGAATTGTTATAAATTTTTGGAAAGGTTTGGCTGACCTTCTGGAATCAATCGGGAAAATTTTGGGGTACGAACCCAACAGAACATGAGAACAATGTGCTCGAACTCGATCCAATCAGGGGCTAGTACACTATGTTTAATAGTTTTTTCACTAAAGTGTATTGCGCCAACGTATGCCATAAAATACACCAAGAGTTCACCGTTCTCATATTCAAACGTCTAAGATTCGAAGCTTTTGGTTGTACGCACAAGAATGTAATACCAACGCACCAAATTTTTCATATGTATCGCAACAAGTATTCATATTGTGCGTAAAAACTCTGACTCGCAATAAACTTATGCGCAAACACACTTCTTCGCACACATTTTAAACAACACTAAAAATCTCAACATAAATATTAGATTTGGTATTGCAATTTGTATGAAAAAAACGTCGCTTTGATATGCTTTGCTGCTATAATCCAATAAAGTTTTGAAATTGGAAAATGACTCGATAGCGAAATGCATTCCCAGCTCCCAAGTTCTAATTCAAAAATTCTCCGAAAATTGAAAGCTCACTCAAAATTTTGATACTGAGAATAAGCATTTTAACAATAACAAATTGCGCTCTGAACCAAGCCAGAACAATTGGATGTAAAAGAAAATTCTAGGAGGCTTATTATGTAATATTCCATTTTTTTTTTTATTTGGATTATTGGATTAAAACGGGGAGTGTCCTATTTAAACAGTAAAATTTTAATATAGTTTCTCGTTGCTCAAGTTTCATAACTTATTGCAAGACGCCCGTGTGTGTATTGAATACACTAGAATAGTCTTTTATCCAAAAATGTTTCTAAGGCATGGATTGTCATCGCATGCCCGTTTGAAAAATGTTACCAATTTGAATACACTCGGTGCATGAATCAAAGGATAGGATCTCCAGCCCGTGAAGTCAGCCCGTATGGTATCCAACATTGGACATCTATCTATGAGGTGGGCAGTGGTTTCCCCTTCTCCACCACACAGTCTACAGTCCGGGTCGTCTCTGAGATTTAGATTTCTCATATGAGAATTGACCCTGGCGTGCCCGGTAAGTAAACCAATTACCATCCGGAGGTCTTCCTTGGGTAATTTGGCTAATTCCACCGTGAGTTTTGAACATGTGAATTGAACGAAGTGTTTCGTTTGCTCACATGAGAACGTACCCTGCCAATTTAGGCGGGATCTGTTGCTGAGCCAAGTAGCTAATCGGTTCTTGACTCGTGAATATTCAATTGGTATGTATGGTTCTGGACCCTCTATTGCATCGTGTGCAGCCAATTTTGCCGCCCCGTCTGCCAGGTCATGCCCCCGAATACCAGTATGAGATTTGATCCAAACCACCCTAAGGTTGTTCGTTTCAGAAATGCGCTGGAGTGCCTCGTAACAGTTCATAGCCAAGCCATTTTGCATCTTAATATTCTTAAGACCAGTTATGGCTCCCAAACTATCTGTGAAGATAGCTATATTTCCCCGT